GCCTAGCCCGTAGCCTAGCTCCCGTTGCTGCAGTTATCTCCGCACCGAGCCTTGGTGTCAAGCCTCAAGTGATTTTAAAGCTCGCCAAAAGGGTACACCTCAAGATATTGAAGATAGTTACATTACTTTGTGTAGTGCAACATTTCGCTTGGTGTAGGCCCTAGTGAAGGGTAGTTTCGAGACCCTTTCTGGTTGGGGACAGTGTGGCACTACTCCACATCACTATACCTCGGCTTTTGAGGTTTTTAGGAGCTGGGAGTCATTCCCAACTCGTAACTCTTCCTATTGTGTGTTCTAAGACTATAGTGGCTGCCATAGTGCCGTTCGTTCAAACTGACGTTGTGTCGTCAATGCTTGGTAAGATCGTGCGATCTAAATTGCCTATTGTAGGCGACAGTGAGACGGTCCAGATCCAAGTTGAATCCGGTCATTTCAAGCAGTGACCTGAACGCTATGAACGTTTAAAGCCGCTGTGCAGAAATCCGACTGTGCGCTCTATCTTTTGTTTTAGGCACATTGGAGCCTACTGTGTCTATAACAGTGCTGGCCTCAGCAGCTGTCCAGGTACCAGGTTTGTTGGTTTTTGTAGTTGTTGCACAAAATTAGCGCGAGTCACATAGTTACCAGGGTTGTCTTGTACCTTCTGTGGAACGATGGATCTTCATCCTCCTTCCATCCCACAGGCACAAATCGCTGATGCTCATGATTGGTTGATGCCAATCTTGCTCGTCCTCATTATACTGATAATAGTGATCCTTTGTGAGGGGATTGTTACACCCTTCTTCAGGTTGACTGAGTCCGCCGCGAGGTTCTTCTTCCTCATCTGGCTTAGCAGCGCGTGGGCGACGTATTGTCGCCATGTTAGCGATCACGTTTCTGGGAGCTCCCGCTTGAGGTCCCTTTTTCTGCTGTTGCTATTGGTTTTGTGCAGGAGGGCGTGAAGCTTGTTGCTAAGGCTGAAAATGACGAGCGTCTTGTCGGCCAACCCAATTATTATGGTGAGAGGAGTTTGGGTGGCGATAGTTAGACCGGGACTTGCATCGGTCTGTTGAGTGTCCGAAGACTTTGATGATTTTGCAATAATGGCGTCGTGGCTGTCGTCGCTCTTCACGGTTGTTTGTGTAGAAGGCGAGGCACTCTCGACGTGGTGCGGAGCTTGTCCTGCTCGAATCCATGTCGTGCTGTTTAGTCAGCAGGGTGGCGCATAGTGCGGCTTCATAGATAATTCCTCGTTGTTGGGGCAGCGCTTTGCAGGGCTTCCACTCTTGCCCGAGTCCCTGGAGGACGATGTTGAAGAAGATCTCCTCAGAAATGGCGCTTCCATGTTTCGTGATTTGGTCACAAATGTTCTAACAGCGGTTGATATATGAGTTTGCTTTCTCCCCATGCCCCATCTTGGTCTCCATGAGTTGCTGCAGAAGCCTGCTAGCGACGACTGAATCCTTCGGCTGATATACCTCAACGAGGTGCTTCCGGGCTTCTAGGGCTGGAGCGGCGCTCTCTTTGTAGAAGCGAATGCTCAGTTGTTCTGCAGGCGTCATATTGCATAGCAGCACACCGCCATGAGGGACTCGCTGTAGTACTGAGCCCTGGCGTCTTTGGTGTCTTCCACCGGTTTAGCGTAGGAGCCGTCGAAGTAGTGGTAGATCTGCGCTGTTTGTAGAAGGAGCTCAAGCTCGAAACTCCATGTATCGAAGTCCTGCCATCAAATGCGGCAGCAGTCTTGATTTTTGAAACACTGAAAAAACGTGCTTGCGCAAAATTGATAGCTTCATCACTTGGACGAGGGGCAGTTGTTGTTGATTTGTCTGTGTCGAGGGAGAAGGTGTGCGCAGCGGTATCGCGGCTTTTCGCAGCCTGTTGTGCAGGTTGAACTGATTGAGAGGAGGTTCCTGCATCGCCTTTGCGCAGTTCTTGGAGGTCTTTCTCGATAGTTTAGAGTCGCGAAAATAACTGCTCGAGTGCGGCAGTGCTGATCGTAATTGTCGCCTCATTTGTCGCAGCTAGGTTGGTTTGCCCTTCGGCTGTTAGATTCGCTTGGCCTCCGGATCCTCCGGCCATCTTGGTCTTGGAGCGTGTGCTGCTCACCAGATCTTGATTCGGCGAATTTCACGGAAGTGAAGTTGCGAAGAATCCCTGAGTAGCTCTCATACCACTTTACAATCCCATGTGGGACTTGGCGAAGGATCGCTCAGGGTTGATTGCAAAGTAGTGTTGCAGCGGAAGTGTTGACCTCAGGTCAGAGTGAATGTAAACGATTGAGATTGATAATAGCATGCATACATCGAGTTTATATAGGAAATGCAAAGTAATACGAAACGACCTATACTAGCCATGTACTCTGAGGGGCACATTCCCTTATTACAGCGAAGTTCAAACCGTGCAGCGCGGAAACCCGTTTCAAACATGTTCCCGCTCTTTTCAGATCAAATGTTTCTGCTCGCATCGGTCTTGGTCAGACGGTTACCAGCGTATCTTCGACTCTTCTGACTCCTTGACTTTGTACTCGGTAGAGTCGGCTCCTGGAGCATACAGGAATGCCTTCTCAAAGGATTTCATATCGTAACATCACTTTCCCAACCCATGCCATCCACCTCACCCAACTTGGCCACACTTGCCAACCTGGTTTGGCTTCTCCCAACCACTTGGCAACAACTACAGTAAAGATGACAAATATCCCCAACCCCCAATAGTCTATACCCCATATAGAGTCACCCCACAAATTCCCTTAGTCGTCGCAACCAAATACCAAAAGCATACGAACTTCAACCGTTCGTAACCTTTTCGTTCGTGCTTCGATTGAAGCGATCTTTGGTTCATCGGAAAGCTTTGAGCAGAGGAGTCACTTCATATATCTGCTCAAGCAGAATAACATTCACACGCACACACACACACACATACACACACACACACACATACACACACACACACATACACACACACACACACACATACACACACACACACACACACAAACTTTCACTACCGTTTGTCGCCATACTTTACATCGAATTCTACTCGCGCTCGCGGCACTTGGATGCATGTTTCGTCAGGATGATGTGGCAAATGCATTTCATTATGCACTCGTCTGCGCATTAACTTGTCGAGAAACCACGTGGTACCATGATCGACCCTTTGAAACGTTCGTAAGCTCAACACGTTTATGTGCGAGATAAATTAGGTTCCGCCTTTGTGGCAACAGCCAATTCAAAAATGCCTCATATGAATCGGCTTTCATCAGTTGCCTCATGATCAAGGCATGTACCGCCTTGACCGCGAGAACACATATTGTATATTGGCATGCTGGCTACTGTTCTGAGCTACTTTGACGGGGAGCTGCAAACTGATCTTATGCTTACGATTGTGACAACTGTACCCACTGTTTTGTTCTTATTGTCACTGTGACTTGAACAGCTATCCACCTGTCAATTGCCAAGAACCTCTTCAAGAGATTTCACATACCGACGACTACCGCGGCTTCTTCGTATCGTTCTTGATACAATCTGAACCGTTTTATAGGATTGTCTCAGGTTGATCCCATGGAGTGTAGCATCGGAAGATTGCTAGGTAATGTCGGGTACAGACTCTGTCAGAAGAAGGAGATTTGAATCTCGTTAGAAGTGTCTAATACAATGCGGTACAGGGGCTTATATAGGAATACAGTGGAATACGAAAGGTCCTAGCTAGCCATGTACTCTAAGGGGGTACATTCCCCTTAGGGCTAATCTAGATGCAGGATTGCAACCATGCGGTTCGGTAACCGTACGCGGTCCGGTAACGGTTTGAACTTTTCCCGCGCTTTGCACTTCGAATTCTTCCTGCTTGTAACTGTCTCGATAACTGTCTTATCGCTTGGTCTTTCATCCTCACTGCAGTCATCTTCGCGTTAAGGATTCGTTACTTAGGAATGTTTATTCAACTATTCCTTATCGTAACAGTTCTAACTAGGGGGATAACGGTGGATCGATTTCTTCTGACGAGGTCTCTCGCTATCAGCAGCTATTGGGCTATTCTCTGTTCGCCACAGTTACCTGCCGTCCCAATCTCTCCTATTATGCTAGCCAGCTCGCTCAGTTTGTGAAGCGATATGAAGGGGAGAACCTAAGGTAAGTAGAAGGTGCAATATCCTGCTTCAAATCGACTTCGATTGTCGGACTAACCTACCACAAGAAGCCGCAAGCTAAGCTAAAACTTTTTGGCTATGTTGATGCTGATCATGCGGGGGATACTACACACAGGTGCTCACACACAGGATTTATATTCCGTCTTGAACCTATTGGAACCATCTCTCATGTGCACTATTTGAGTACATCACTACCTGCATAGAAACGAAAGGAGGACACAATCTTCACGAGTTACTCAGTGAAGCAAAATTGGTTCAAGCTCCGTAGTTTCAGCTCTTCTCCAACAGTTAGTCAGAAGTTCACATTGCTAACAAGACTGGTTTTGCAAACATAGCGAAACACCTCACTGCGATATTTCTTCATCAGATTTGTACAAGCGCAGGCCGAATATGCAGAAGACATGTCCAGAACAAAGATCTAGCAAGCAGTGTACAAGCAACAGCATAGTAGACGCCAAGCCATACAACGACAACGTCAGCCCACATATAGTTGGCATTCCAAATTCTTCCATGCACCATCCAGCGTTGCTGATGGCAATCAATCAAATCTTCCTACGTGCTCCCCACGTGCTTCTCCGTCAACAGCTTGGAGCGCTACCATTGGGATGGGAAGAACCTGGTGGTGAGGGAATTGCCAAGAGAGGCGGGCGACAGAAAGAGAAGCGCGACGGAGAGAGGCAACAGAACAGTAGGGGAATGGAAATGAGTTTCAGTGCCCCCCAACAAAGAAGAGATCATGGAAAGGACCAGCATGCCACATACACACTCCTCTACTCTCTGTGCGTCTACCAGCAGCTTCCCTTCCCACATGCCATGCCCACATGCGCCTTCCCATTCCCACTCTCTCCCCCCCCTCCCACTTTCCTCTTGCCTTGCTTCACGCGCACCTGCCCAGCATGGAGCCAGCAGCGAGGGTGGCAGCAAGGAGCGCCTGGCAGGTCATCCAGAGGGCGGCATCCACTTGCCTGCCCTCCGCCATGGCCGCCAGCACGCGCTCCCACGCCACCACGCTCAGCTGCTGCGCCAGGCCCACGTGCGGCACGCATGCTGATGCTGGCAGCACGATGGGCAGGTGGGGGAGAGGATGGCATGTGTGCGATGGCAGAGAGGAAGAGCGGTGAGGGAATCGTTGGGAATGCATTCGGTGTGGTTGCTGCTCGTTGACTGGTTTGAGATCAGGGTGGTGGTGCGGTCGCCGAGATGGTGCTGCTGCATCAGATTCTGCTGTCAAGAGTGTAAGTGATGATGGCGGCGTGGAGATGGGAAGTGGTGAAGGTGGTGGGGTGTGTGGAACAGCCACGGGAGGTCCACCCACAGGCAGTGCGGGGTTTGCAGGCAAAGGGGCGAGAACCGTGCAGGGTTGGTGTGTGCGTGTGGTGGCAGCAGGTGCAGGGAGGCATGGCATGGGTGAGGAAGCAACGGGTGTGATGGGAGGAGGAGTTGCTGCAAGAGGCACCTGCTCGTGCTCTTGCACGCTCGTGTGTCCCCCTGCCTCTCCCTCCATCTCACCCTCACCGTCTCCCTCGATCCGCCCCTGTTCAATCGCCTGTGTACGCGGTGGCGTGCTTGGTCCTGGGAACAGAATCAGGGGAGAGGGTGTAGCGCAGGTATGAGGGACCAAGGAGAGCCATGTTTCATTTGGCACTGAGTGCCAGCTTCGACGTGCCCCATGTGAAAAAGGCCCACCCACCCAATGGGGAGAAGGAACGAACTCTCAGAAAGAGGTGCAAGAGAGGGATGGAAGGCACACGCTAGAAAGTAGGCAAGGGGCAAGAGAGGGGGGATCATACCGTTTGACAGGAGCAGTCGAAACCTGCGGCCCCCTCCCTCCCTCTCCATGCCGTCACCATGCCCATCCGCCCTCCCCCACTCATCCCCCCTTCCCCTCTCCCCTCGCCTGTCGTCCTCGCGTGCCCCCAAGCGCCAGGGTCGTGGCCCCCAGATGATCCCTGCGAAGGCAGTGAGGCAGCGCGCCAGGAGAGACGGGCGCGCCACTAGCAGCACCACGTGCAGCGCGGATAAGGGCACCCTCACATGCGCCAGCAGCTGGACACGCAGTTGGGGGAGGAGAAAGGGGGGAGAGGGAAGGTTGGTTGAGTTGGAGACAAAACAGGAAAGGGCAAATACGGAATGGGAAGGAAGAAGAATTGAAAGAAGCACGGGGGGGTGTGAAGGAGGATTGAAGCGTTAGTGACTGGCTGATCACAAGTAGCAGCTCATCTCATCACTGAGAGCTCCTCATTGCAAGTAGCAGTATGGTCGCACAGAGCGGAGCGCCAGGAGTGGTAGAGGGACGGGCGTACCACAATTCCACTCGCATCATTTCCACCCAAGAAAGTCCCACCACCTCCACCACTGGTCCCACGACCCATCCCTCGCTGCACCCTGCTACCAAGCATCGTATCACCCCACATGTCGCCGTCCCCCCTGCTCCCTCCACCACCCCGACCATCCCCTCCCTCTCCACTCCCCAACACCACCACCTCACTCCCCCTGCTCGTCAACCCCAGCGCCTCTTCCTCACCGCCTCCCTGCCTGCTGCCATCACTGCCGTGCATGCCTTCCACCGCACTGCCCTGTGCTGCAAGGGCCGCCTCCACCTCACCCCCAAGCTGCCCCTCCACCTGCTGCTGCTGCCAAGGCACGTCCTCCACAGCGCCATCACCCACACCTGCACTGCAGCCACTGCCACCACTGCCGCCACTGCCGCCACTGCCGTCACCTGCTGCCAACTGCACCTCGTCTTCCCCACCCTCCTGCCTCGTGCACTCCCCTGCACTGCGTTCTGCATCCACACTCTCTTCCTCGCCCCCCGTGTCCTCCACCAACCCACCCTCCTGTGTGCCCACCACAGTACAAGTGCGAGCAGCATCACCATCAGCACATGAGCTGCTCACAACACCTCCACAATCATGCACCTGTGCACGCCCACCCTCGGCCTCTGTACCCTCCACAGCGCCACTTCTCCCTCCTACCAGCACGCCTCTTGCCTTCTTGTGCCTCCGCATCAACCCGCGCACCACAACACCTCGTCGTCCCCTGCACACTGCTCGCCACTTACCACTCTTCGCACATGCACCACCACCCAGGCTGCTACTGGCGTTTGTTCTCCTGCTGCTGCACGAGCTGCTGCTGCTGCTGCTGCTTCTATTGCTGCTGCCCATGTCCCAACTTTCACCTTCAACCAAACCCAAGTGAGCAACCCCAAACGGACTGTCATTCCGGTACCCACCGCCAGTGCTGCTTCCTTTCCACGGACCTGCACTCCCCCTATGCCTCTTCCTCCCAAGCGCTCCAATCCCTCTGCTTGAACGTCTACGCCCCTGCCCCTGCTGTGCTCGATCCTGCCACTGTGCCTGCTCTCGCCCCTGTTGTTGCTCTGGCCACTCTCCCACATCCCTGACACCATCACTTGTGCTGCGCTCACTTCTGCTCTCACCACCCTCCCATGAGTTACCATTGGGTTCAAAGAGAGGGTTAAAACGAGGAGCGTACAGCTTCAGGTCCCGCATATCGCTCTCCCTGTCCCACTCCCTTTCTCTACCCCACGATCTCTCCATGCCCCTCTCATTTTCTCTCCCATCGTCCCTCCTCTCCCCCACATGCTCACAATCCCCCTGTGTTGCCACCGTGGTGTGCATAGCAGGGAGTTCGCCTGCTGCTGCTCTTGCTGTTGAAGGAAGACCGTCAGCAGCATTCTTCCCCACAGCAGCAGCAGCAGAACCATCAGCAGCAGCAGCAGCAGCAGCAGCAGTCTCTCCCTGCACACGGCTTGCACCTGCCAGCCTGGAGTGGCGCAGTGCTGGGTGCAGCAGGGAGGTGCCAACAGACGGGCAGAGGGCAGGAGGGCGTGAGGTGGCACGGGGGGGCATGCGATGCTGCTGCTGAAGATGAAGATAGTTCGGAGGACGCGCAGGAGGGAGGACGGCGGTAGAGGATAAGCAGGAGTGCTGAGATGCACTCATGGGAGGGGGAATGGAAGCACCCTGGAATGGGCGGCTAGCATGCGAAGCGACATCAGAAGCAGCACCCGCCACAGCACAAGTCATAGGCGCCAAACGGCCATGAGTGCTCAATCCCAAGCATTGAGTCTCAAAAGAGCCATCAGCTTGCCTCTCGTCCGCGCCTTTGTGGGCCCCACTGGTGACACCGGCGCCTTGTGCATGCCCCACGGCAGCGCCTTGTGCATGCCCCACGGCAGCGCCTTGGTGCGACGATGGCAGGCCCAGCATGTGTAGGTACCCCCTCTCCCGCGCCCAGAACCTCTGCTCATTGTTGGTCGCAGCAAATTGACGGGAGCGACGGGACATGGAGATACAGAGGAGGAGAGGGAATGTGGGAGGAGAGTAGGTGGTGAGGATAGAGCAGGCAACGAAGTGAAACCCGAACCATGGTAGGATAATTCCTCACAAGCAGCAAGGAAGAGAAACGTTGGGAATCCAAGGACGAACAGGCGAAGTTGCAAATCACTCACCACCATATGGTTCTCCAGGTGCTCCTCTTTCCCCCTCCCTAAAAGAACCACCTCCCCGGCTCTTTTCCCTCCTCCTCCTGCTGCCCTCGCACCAATCAAGCCAGCACCGCTTGGCTTCCCTCTGGGCCGGCCCAGCCACCCCCCTGCCGATGGCAGTGCCGCTGGGGTACGAAGAGCAGGAGGCACAGGCGCAGGGAGGTGTGCTTGGGCGTGTGGAGCAGTGTCTTCTGTAATGCTCCTGGCAGGGAGTGTGGCCTGCTGTAAGCTGGCGGCGTCCACTGACTCACTGTCGCCTGCTGCACCTTCTGCTGCTTCCACCGCTCCTTCCTTAGTCTCGCCTGCTGCAGCCTCTGTTGCTGTCTCTGCTGGGTAGCATGCAGGGGACTTATGCAGAGAGTCCTCAGGAATTCTCAAGAGCCAAGGGCCATCATTACCAGCCTCGCTTCTACCACTGCTGCTGCTGCTGCTGCTGGCACTGCTGCTGCAGGTACTCGCGAATTCAATGCCAGCCTGCCTCTCCTCACCCGGATCTGTCTCCACGAAAAACAAACCTCCAAGCGAACAGTGACCAACTCCTCGCCTTTCCAGGATAGTGATTCCCCTATTCTGCTGGCGCCACTGCTGCTGCTGCTGCTGCTGCTCATCTTGATGCTGCCACCCAGGTTGTTGTGGCAAGAGATACTGACAATTCGTGTGTGTGTGGCTGCGCTGCTGCTGAATGCGAATGGCCCGTCTCCCCAGGACGACACCAGAGGGCCCTTCAGCAAGGGCGTCCCAGGAGAAGGCTGGCAGACGGATGAACTGAAATGGGCGGTGATAGAATGAAGAGTCACAGACGGGCCGATAGAATGAGGAGCGATACAGGGAAGGGTAAAAAAAGGCGATACAGGGAGAAGGAGGGGTCACAAGATAAGATTAACAAATAAGGAGCAATGGAATCAGACGTGGCAGATTCTGCAGAGCCACAGTGTGAAGTAATATAGGCGTGACCAGGCTAAAGAGTTGACAGAAACCAGCACAGAATTGGGGAGAGCATGGCAGGAAAATGTACACAGTAGTGAGTGCTGCAAATCCAATCAGCGATGCTCTTGTGTTGCGAAATGCCTCAAAACACGTCCTTGCAGACACCCATCCCCCCCCCTCCCCCCCAAACCTGAAACTCCTCTTGTTGTGACCCCACGTTGTCTCCCTCCTCCCCCACCCTACCTCCTCCAACCATATCCCTTCAGCCCTCCTTCATTCCCTCACGTTGAGGTTGCATGTGCACATGACGTGGCACACTAGGTGTGTCAAGCACAGCTCATTCATCAACATTCACACCTCCACCAGCCAACCGGCACCTCATGCTGCAATTCCTTTGATTTATGGCAGCAAAATCTTCTTGACTACCTGATTCGACTGTGTCGCAAGGAGACTAAAAATGTCGGCCTCCGAACATTCGCCAAGCTCCCCTGCTTCACCAAGGGCGTCAGCGTCATTATCCGTCACGGCAGTGTCGGTGGTTCCACCAAAGGAGCTGCTGTTGGCACTGGTACAAGAGGAGTTGTCTGAAGTATCACTGCTGCTGCCGGCGACGCAACGCTCATGCGACTTCAATTTCTGTAGCATTCCATCACGCTGTTATCGATTATACAAGGAAGGGGAGAAAAGCTTGGGCCTAAACTCATTCTTCAAAATTGTTGTTCGTGAAAAATCAGGAAAATACATACGTAAGTTCCGTTTGCTAAATGATTACAAGTTGAATGCGTGTACACACCTGCGCATGTTCTCCATCACCGCACTCCACGCCACGTCCCCCCGCTCGCCCTCCAACAATGCTCTCCAGTTCGCGCCTCGCATGCCCCAGCCACGCAAGCACCGCACCACCGCCAGCGTTGGTTGCAAGCAGTGGTGCTTGCTCGTCCCCCTTCGTGCTTGGTTTCAACATGCCTCGACGTAAGCGTGGGGACTGACGATGATCCTGCCCAGGTGATGCTTGTGGAGGAGCGACAGTAGCTGCAGTGGTGGCAGCTGGGTGCGAGCGGGCCGCAGTGCTCGCGGATTCCTCCACCAACGCGCGGAGTGCGTCGAGCTGCAGAGCAACACACAGGTTGCATGGGAACGACGAATCGTTACGCAGTAGTTTAAAAAAAATATATAGAAATTAGACGCGGCAGGTTCCCTACAATGCTCTTAACTTTCAGACCCGCTGTCCTCACTATCCCGCCTCACCTCGTCTCGGATCTTGTCCCACCACCGGCAGTCCAGCCCGCGCGACGCCATGTCGCCTCGCGCCACCTGCATCACGTCTCAGCACAAGCCTTCAGGCAAGGAAGGGGACGAGGCTGAACGGGGAGAGGACTGAACGGCGGTATGTGCGCGAGTAATCAGCACGCTATGCGTGGTGCTGCAAGCGCGGCGTTTCCACTCACCCTTCCCGTCCCATAAAGCTCATCATAATCCGAAGCAGCAAGTGCGGTCGTCCTCGCACTGCCTCCTCCCGTACCCTCCCCTTCCTGCTCCTCCTCACTGTGACTCTCGGTGACCAGCCCGCACTCCTCGCCAGTCGCCTCGTCGCCCTCGCACGAGAACGACAGTCGGCGAAACACCGCCGTACTCAATCCCGATCGCGACCTCGAGAGCGCGGGGCGGCTCCCAGTAGGAGTAGAGCCGCTGCGCTCACTCGCTCCAGAACCCGCGCGAGCGCTACGAGCTGTGCGAGCAGAAGCAGCAGGACCAGAATCCGCGCGAGGAGCATCACCCGTGGCCCCAATTCCTGCCAGCAAGCCCCAATCCGCCATCTGCGCGTCCACCACGTTCCACGCCGCTCCCGCTCGGCGCGCCGAGGCTGCACTGCCAGCCGACGACGGCGCGTCGAGATGGTGCTGTTGCGCGTATCGAGGATGACAGTATCGCGAACGGGCCCCCTTGACTCTGCTGCTCTTGCTGCTCGCACCTCCCGCCCGACCAAACAGCGCGTTGCTATCGCCCGCACTCTCGCCGCCCACGTCGCAGCTGCCCTCGACGCTGTGGCTTCGAAGCAGCTTGTTGCTCGTGCTCGTGCTTCCGCCTCCGCCATCCCTCTCGTTCCGTTTACCGCCAGAGGCGCACGCGGAAACAGCGCTGCTGCACGCGGAATGAGCGCCACTGTTGCTGCCGTCCGCGGAACTAGCTCCAGCAATCGCGCCGGTCGTAGCAGGCGCACCGGTAGCAGGGGGCCGCGAGAACGTGGAGAAGCTACGTGACCGTCGCAGCATCATGGCGCGGGCTGCCGCTTGCTGTGGCGCTCTTGCTGACAACGGCGACGCGCCCGCCTCGCCTCTTGACTTCGCGCCTGCTGACGCGGCGGCAGCAGATGCAGCAGGGGGAGAGGGGAACGACGCGGATGGTGACCTCCATAGCGACGACGACGAGTTGTGACGAGCGTCCATCGGCTTCGCACGCGGGCTCGCATGGCCGCCACGACGACTGGCCGAGGCTGACTCAGAGGCTCGGGTGCTGACGTCGGATGAGTCAGAAGCCACCGAACCAGCACTCGACGCGGCATCCGTCGTCGCCGCCACGGCAGCGGGCCTGTGGGCGGACTTAGCGGCCGCTGCCTCTTTTGAAGGCTGCGCCACGCGATTGCTGCTGGGACTCCCGCCTAGCCCCGGCCCATGACGGAAACCCTGACGGAATGAAAGCGACTCATGATCGTCCAGCGACTTCTGCTGGCGGTGTCGAGGCAAGTGCCCATGCGCACTTTGGTCTTCGTGGCGCTGGCGGTGCGCGGAGCGACTCTGACCGGCGTGCAGCGATCCTTTGCGCGTTGAGCTACTAGTAGCGCGATATGCCAAAATATCGGCGGCGGTGAGTATCCCACTCCCCACACTGCTGTCCGTCGTCCCACTTCCGTCCCTCTCCGAGCCACCACCACCACCACCACCACCATCACCAGCACCAGCACCAGCACCGGAGGGAACACCATCATCTCCTCCCGGACTATCTCCCGCACTACCGCTTGCACTCAGGGCGGGTCGACGCAGCGAGAACGGCGAAGGGGAGCCGCGGATGCCGCCATCGCCGCCGCCAGTGGCTCCTCCACGGCGTGCTGCTGTGCTTGACGGATTGCCGGCCCGTCCACCGGCGGCCGTTAAAATAGATGACGCTCCCTCGCCATACTTGGGCGCTAACGGCGAGCCCGACAACGAGGACGGAGTGCGCTTCATGTGAGGGGTTAACGCGGGCGTAGGTGTGGCGCCGGCGGAACGGAGACGACTCGTCGCCTGGGCAGACACAGGCGCTTCACCGCCAGGGGGCTGCTCGGGGCTGCCGAGCGGGGAAAGGCCTTTCTTCGCGCCGGCAGACGGGGAAGAGGATGTCTGCGGTCGGCCGGAATCCCTTCCGGTGGCCTTAAATACAAATGCCATGCTGCTCGAGCGACCTTCACGAGCGTGGTTGGCGTCGGATCCGCTATGAGCTGACGCGGAGGCCGATTCTGACGAGGACGATTCTGTGAGAAGAGCCCGCCTCTCCTCTTGAGACAACTCCGAATCTCGGCGACACGTCCCAGACGATCGCCGCCTGCCTTCGCGCAACGCTTTGAATCTCTTTCGAATCTGCTTGCTGAGGCGAATCAGCCAGTATAAGCCGCGCGGCTTTGCCCCTAGGCGATGAGCTCTGTGCCTTCCACGAGGCGTAACTTTCAACGACTCGCCGTAACAATCACGGGAGGGAAAAAGGGTAAATTCCATCCCAAAGCCCGAGAACTATAGACGATCGCGCCTACACTTGCTTCCCCTGTCATGCAGCCTTCACCTGAAAACCAGGAGTGAACCAGTCACATCTGACCGGGAAGCTTGCTCTGATGCTTCATGAAGAAACATAGGGAATAGTTGCTGGGTGATAATAGAGTGATCTGGGAGCGTAGAGAGAAAGGGAGGGGGGGGGCACCGTGGGTCAAAGTGTGCTGGCGGGCTTACCTTGGGACTTCTCCTGCCGCACAGTCAGCAACACACCGCTCATGCTCGAGCTCGCACCATGTGCTGATCACCAGTCGCGCAGCTTGGCATGGCATGCCAGCTGCTCGCGACAAGCCCGGAGTGGACTAACAGGCAAGATGGTCCCGATCCGACTCCCGAGGTGCTTAGCTCACCGCTTGAGTCTGCTGCTGTTGCTACTAGGTTGGTTCGATGGCTTGGGTCCGCTGGGAATGTCGAGCCGCCTGCGTCCCAAAATCGGGACAAAACCTTGGCGTTGCGGTCTGCCTCCCACACCACGAGAGCCAGCAAATAGTACGATCATGATATGGAAAGATCCGTGCACCTATTAGAAGGCAGTTTCTTCTGAAAAATACTATTTCGCATAGAAAATTAATGAGTGAAGAGCAGGGTTTGATTCCATGTGTTGGTGCACATCTTTTTTGTGCTGGTGTAAGGAAATTTCCTTTTCCTTAATTCGCATCCCTGATCAGCGCGCACCCCATTGTTCCCGCCAACAGCACCCAACAGAATTTGTTGCCACTCACGATATTCGCCTCGACACTATTCCCGCCACTGTTCACGACGCGACCCAACCTCACGGTTCGGTTGGTAACCCGCGCTATCTCCACATCGACACTTTCCCAACCTCGGCGCTAAGCCCGTCGCGCACCCCATTTTCACACATTATCGTTACCACTGTTGTTCCGCTATATATTATTCGCTCATGCATTCGCTCATTGTACTCTTGCTTCGATAGTGCAATTCTCGCTCACTCATTCAATTGCACTCGTAACCTTGGTATTCAGAGCCTACGATCTCTTCTCGGACCGCACCCACACCTTCGCTTCCCCCACTATTTCAATTTTTTGGGGGGGTAGATGTCTCTCAGCGAAACAAGCACCGCCGATCGAAGTGCTCTCTCGTAAGCACGCACGGCCACGACCAAGGCTCTCGCTGAGCTTGCCCGACATTCCCCCCTATGGCCGAATTCACTCTCGCGACACTAACGCAGGAGCAACTCGACCGTCTCGTGCGCCAAATCGAAGAGTCGGCACGCGAAATTCCTACATTCACGGCGAAACGCGACTCCGCTCGACAGCAATCCACGGTGAATGCTTCAGCACCACCACACACACCTGCAAATGTACCCGCACAGTCGAAGGATCCGATCGTCATCTCATCAAGCACACCGACACAAAAGGACAGCGTGGGACAATGCTCTAGCGCAGCCAGTGATGGCGACGCTCAATCAATGCTTGGCATGGAGAGGAACAGGGCCGCACCAAGCCCGCTGAAGCCTTGCGAAGCCCGTCGGCATGTGGAGTTTGCAGCGACAAGTGGCGACCATGCCATCATGGCACCAATGCCACTCAAGCCGTAGCGCCCGCCCTGTTTCGACCCGAGCCAACGTGGAGGTCCGATGGTTCAATCGTGGGTCTTCACGATGAATGCTTTTTTCGACGCGAATTACGTCGAGTCGGACGCAGCGAAGATTCAATACGTGGTCTCGCTCCTGAGAGGCCCCGCCATGGACTGGTGGCGAGTCATCGTGATGTCGCCACGCGCCTACGAGCTGCCGTCGCAAGAGGAAGGGCCAACGGGTCCAGCTGTCAATTGGAGTTTATTTTGCGAAACCGCCCAGTACAGCACGTGGGATGGGTGGTGCGAAGGGCTTCAGGCGCGCTTTGAGCCGATCGCGGCTTCTATTTCGGCGCGTCAGAGGCTGCGTACTTGGCGGCAGCTCGGATTAGTCCACGACTATACGAGTGGTTTTCTCTCATTATACGAGCAAGTCGGCCAGATGCAAGTAGCGGAGCGGGTGGACGGTTACGTCGGAGGGCTGAAGCCGGATATCTCACACGGAATCATGCTACACGGTGTGAGGATCTAGGATCGAGCTCATAAAAGAAAGTCTGAATTAAATCATCACCGGGGTACAACACGAGGCTATATATAGGCTCGACAAAAGGCCTAGTAACCAGGTGTTACGCGAAGAATCCGAGGGTCGCGATGATAAGAAACGAGAATAAATGCATTGAGCAGAATAAGGAGTACAAGTAGTAAACCCTAAAGTGTTGTACCCCATATGAACTGCCCCACTACAGCCTACACAGACTATAGCATATATGCCTGACACACAACCCAAGTGAGCAACCCCAAACGGACTGTCATTCCGGTACCCACCGCCAGTGCTGCTTCCTTTCCACGGACCTGCACTCCCCCTCTGCCTCTTCCTCCCAAGCGCTCCAATCCCTCTGCTTGAACATCTACGCCCCTGCCCCTGCTGTGCTCGATCCTGCCACTGTGCCTGCTCTCGCCCCTGTTGTTGCTCTGGCCACTCTCCCACATCCCTGACACCATCACTTGTGCTGCGCTCACTTCTGCTCTCACCACCCTCCCATGAGTTACCATTGGGTTCAAAGAGAGGGTTAAAACGAGGAGCGTACAGCTTCAGGTCCTGCATATCGCTCTCCCTGTCCCACTCCCTTTCTCTACCCCACGATCTCTCCATGCCCCTCTCATTTTCTCTCCCATCGTCCCTCCTCTCCCCCACATGCTCACAATCCCCCTGTGTTGCCACCGTGGTGTGCATAGCAGGGAGTTCGCCTGCTGCTGCTCTTGCTGTTGAAGGAAGACCGTCAGCAGCATTCTTCCCCACAGCAGCAGCAGCAGAACCATCAGCAGCAGCAGCAGCAGCAGCAGCAGCAGCTGCAGCAGCAGCAGCAGCAGCAGCAGCAGTCTCTCCCTGCACACGGCTTGCACCTGCCAGCCTGGAGTGGCGCAGTGTTGGGTGCAGCAGGGAGGTGCCAACAGACGGGCAGAGGGCAGGAGGGCGTGAGGTGGCACGGGGGGGCATGCGATGCTGCTGCTGAAGATGAAGATAGTTCGAAGGACGCGCAGGAGGGAGGACGGCGGTAGAGGATAAGCAGGAGTGCTGAGATGCACTCATGGGAGGGGGAATGGAAGCACCCTGGAATGGGCGGCTAGCATGCGAAGCGACATCAGAAGCAGCACCCGCCACAGCACAAGTCATAGGCGCCAAACGGCCATGAGTGCTCAATCCCAAGCATTGAGTCTCAAAAGAGCCATCAGCTTGCCTCTCGTCCGCGCCTTTGTGGGCCCCACTGGTGACACCGGCGCCTTGTGCATGCCCCACGGCAGCGCCTTGTGCATGCCCCACGGTAGCGCCTTGTGCATGCCCCACGGCAGCGCCTTGGTGCGACGATGGCAGGCCCAGCATGTGTAGGTACCCCCTCTCCCGCGCCCAGAACCTCTGCTCATTGTTGGTCGCAGCAAATTGACGGGAGCGACGGGACATGGAGATACAGAGGAGGAGAGGGAATGTGGGAGGAGAGTAGGTGGTGAGGATAGAGCAGGCAACGAAGTGAAACCCGAACCATGGTAGGATAATTCCTCACAAGCAGCAAGGAAGAGAAACGTTGGGAATCCAAGGACGAACAGGCGAAGTTGCAAATCACTCACCACCATATGGTTCTCCAGGTGCTCCTCTTTCCCCCTCCCTAAAAGAACCACCTCCCCGGCTCTTTTCCCTCCTCCTCCTGCTGCCCTCGCACCAATCAAGCCAGCACCGCTTGGCTTCCCTCTGGGCCGGCCCAGCCACCCCCCTGCCGATGGCAGTGCCGCTGGGGTACGCAGAGCAGGAGGCACAGGCGCAGGGAGGTGTGCTTGGGCGTGTGGAGCAGTGTCTTCTGTAATGCTCCTGGCAGGGAGTGTGGCCTGCTGTAAGCTGGCGGCGTCCACTGACTCACTGCCGCCTGCTGCACCTTCTGCTGCTTCCACCGCTCCTTCCTTAGTCTCGCCTGCTGCAGCCTCTGTTGCTGTCTCTGCTGGGTAGCATGCAGGGGACTTATGCAGAGAGTCCTCAGGAATTCTCAAGAGCCAAGGGCCATCATTACCAGCCTCGCTTCTACCACTGCTGCTGCTGCTGCTGCTGCTGCTGGCACTGCTGCTGCAGGTACTCGCGAATTCAATGCCAGCCTGCCTCTCCTCACCCGGATCTGTCTCCACGAAAAACAAACCTCCAAGCGAACAGTGACCAACTCCTCGCCTTTCCAGGATAGTGATTCCCCTATTCTGCTGGCGCCACTGCTGCTGCTGCTCATCTTGATGCTACCACCCAGGTTGTTGTGGCAAGAGATACTGACAATTCGTGTGTGTGTGGCTGCGCTGCTGCTGAATGCGAATGGCCCGTCTCCCCAGGACGACACCAGAGGGCCCTTCAGCAAGGGCGTCCCAGGAGAAGGCTGGCAGACGGATGAACTGAAATGGGCGGTGATAGAATGAAGAGTCACAGACGGGCCGATAGAATGAGGAGCGATACAGGGAAGGGTAAAAAAAGGCGATACAGGGAGAAGGAGGGGTCACAAGATAAGATTAACAAATAAGGAGCAATGGAATCAGACGTGGCAGATTCTGCAGAGCCACAGTGTGAAGTAATATAGGCGTGACCAGGCTAAAGAGTTGACAGAAACCAGCACAGAATTGGGGAGAGCATGGCAGGAAAATGTACACAGTAGTGAGTGCTGCAAATCCAATCAGCGATGCTCTTGTGTTGCGAAATGCCTCAAAACACGTCCTTGCAGACACCCATCCCCTCCCCTCCCCCCCAAACCTGAAACTCCTCTTGTTGTGACCCCACGTTGTCTCCCTCCTCCCCCACCCTACCTCCTCCAACCATATCCCTTCAGCCCTCCTTCATTCCCTCACGTTGAGGTTGCATGTGCACATGACGTGGCACACTAGGTGTGTCAAGCACAGCTCATTCATCAACATTCACACCTCCACCAGCCAACCGGCACCTCATGCTGCAATTCCTTTGATTTATGGCAGCAAAATCTTCTTGACTACCTGATTCGACTGTGTCGCAAGGAGACTAAAAATGTCGGCCTCCGAACATTCGCCAAGCTCCCCTGCTTCACCAAGGGCGTCAGCGTCATTATCCGTCACGGCAGTGTCGGTGGTTCCACCAAAGGAGCTGCTGTTGGCACTGGTACAAGAGGAGTTGTCTGAAGTATCACTGCTGCTGCCGGCGACGCAACGCTCCTGCGACTTCAATTTCTGTAGCATTCCATCACGCTGTTATCGATTATACAAGGGGAGAAAAGCTTGGGCCTAAACTCATTCTTCAAAATTGTTGTTCGTGAAAAATCAGGAAAATACATACGTAAGTTCCGTTGGCTAAATGATTACAAGTTGAATGCGTGTACACACCTGCGCATGTTCTCCATCACCGCACTCCACGCCACGTCCCCCCGCTCGCCCTCCAACAATGCTCTCCAGTTCGCGCCTCGCATGCCCCAGCCACGCAAGCACCGCACCACCGCCAGCGTTGGTTGCAAGCAGTGGTGCTTGCTCGTCCCCCTTCGTGCTTGGTTTCAACATGCCTCGACGTAAGCGTGGGGACTGACGATGATCCTGCCCAGGTGATGCTTGTGGAGGAGCGGCAGTAGCTGCAGTGGTGGCAGCTGGGTGCGAGCGGGCCGCAGTGCTCGCGGATTCCTCCACCAACGCGCGGAGTGCGTCGAGCTGCAGAGCAACATACAAGTCGCATGGGAACGACGAATCGTTACGCAGTAGTTTAACAAAAATATATAGAAATTAAACGCGGCAGGTTCCCTACAATGCTCTTAACTTTCAGACCCGCTGTCCTCACTATCCCGCCTCACCTCGTCTCGGATCTTGTCCCACCACCGGCAGTCCAGCCCGCGCGACGCCATGTCGCCTCGCGCCACCTGCATCACGTCTCAGCACAAGCCTTCAGGCAAGGAAGGGGACGAGGCTGAACGGGGAGAGGACTGAACGGCGGTATGTGCGCGAGTAATCAGCACGCTATGCGTGGTGCTGCAAGCGCGGCGTTTCCACTCACCCTTCCCGTCCCATAAAGCTCATCATAATCCGAAGCAGCAAGTGCGGTCGTCCTCGCACTGCCTCCTCCCGTACCCTCCCCTTCCTGCTCCTCCTCACTGTGACTCTCGGTGACCAGCCCGCACTCCTCGCCAGTCGCCTCGTCGCCCTCGCACGAGAACGACAGTCGGCGAAACACCGCCGTACTCAATCCCGATCGCGACCTCGAGAGCGCGGGGCGGCTCCCAGTAGGAGTAGAGCCGCTGCGCTCACTCGCTCCAGAACCCGCGCGAGCGCTACGAGCTGTGCGAGCAGAAGCAGCAGGACCAGAATCCGCGCGAGGAGCATCACCCGTGGCCCCAATTCCTGCCAGCAAGCCCCAATCCGCCATCTGCGCGTCCACCACGTTCCACGCCGCTCCCGCTCGGCGCGCCGAGGCTGCACTGCCAGCCGACGACGGCGCGTCGAGATGGTGCTGTTGCGCGTATCGAGGATGACAGTATCGCGAACGGGCCCCCTTGACTCTGCTGCTCTTGCTGCTCGCACCTCCCGCCCGACCAAACAGCGCGTTGCTATCGCCCGCACTCTCGCCGCCCACGTCGCAGCTGCCCTCGACGCTGTGGCTTCGAAGCAGCTTGTTGCTCGTGCTCGTGCTTCCGCCTCCGCCATCCCTCTTGTTCCGTTTACCGCCAGAGGCGCACGCGGAAACAGCGCTGCTGCACGCGGAATGAGCGCCACTGTTGCTGCCGTCCGCGGAACTAGCTCCAGCAATCGCGCCGGTCGTAGCAGGCGCACCGGTAGCAGGGGGCCGCGAGAACGTGGAGAAGCTACGTGACCGTCGCAGCATCATGGCGCGGGCTGCCGCTTGCTGTGGCGCTCTTGCTGACAACGGCGACGCGCCCGCCTCGCCTCTTGACTTCGCGCCTGCTGACGCGGCGGCAGCAGATGCAGTAGGGGGAGAGGGGAACGACGCGGATGGTGACCTCCATAGCGACGACGACGAGTTGTGACGAGCGTCCATCGGCTTCGCACGCGGGCTCGCATGGCCGCCACGACGACTGGCCGAGGCTGACTCAGAGGCTCGGGTGCTGACGTGGGATGAGTCAGAAGCCACCGAACCAGCACTTGACGCGGCATCCGTCGTCGCCACCACGGCAGCGGGCCTGTGGGCGGACTTAGCGGCCGCTGCCTCTTTTGAAGGCTGCGCCACGCGATTGCTGCTGGGACTCCCGCCTAGCCCCGGCCCATGACGGAAACCCTGACGGAATGAAAGCGACTCACGATCGTCCAGCGACTTCTGCTGGCGGTGTCGAGGCAAGTGCCCATGCGCACTTTGGTCTTCGTGGCGCTGGCGGTGCGCGGAGCGACTCTGACCGGCGTGCAGCGATCCTTTGCGCGTTGAGCTACTAGTAGCGCGATATGCCAAAATATCGGCGGCGGTGAGTATCCCACTCCCCACACTGCTGTCCGTCGTCCCACTTCCGTCCCTCTCCGAGCCACCACCACCACCACCACCACCATCACCAGCACCAGCACCAGCACCGGAGGGAACACCATCATCTCCTCCCGGACTATCTCCCGCACTACCGCTTGCACTCAGGGCGGGTCGACGCAGCGAGAACGGCGAAGGGGAGCCGCGGATGCCACCATCGCCGCCGCCAGTGGCTCCTCCACGGCGTGCTGCTGTGCTTGACGGATTGCCGGCCCGTCCACCGGCGGCCGTTAAAATAGATGACGCTCCCTCGCCATACTTGGGCGCTAACGGCGAGCCCGACAACGAGGACGGAGTGCGCTTCATGTGAGGGGTTAATGCGGGCGTAGGTGTGGCGCCGGCGGAACGGAGACGACTCGTCGCCTGGGCAGACACAGGCGCTTCACCGCCAGGGGGCTGCTCGGGGCTGCCGAGCGGGGAAAGGCCTTTCTTCGCGCCGGCAGACGGGGAAGAGGATGTTTGCGGTCGGCCGGAATCCCTTCCGGTGGCCTTAAATACAAATGCCATGCTGCTCGAGCGACCTTCACGAGCGTGGTTGGCGTCGGATCCGCTATGAGCTGACGCGGAGGCCGATTCTGACGAGGACGATTCTGTGAGAAGAGCCCGCCTCTCCTCTTGAGACAACTCCGAATCTCGGCGACACGTCCCAGACGATCGCCGCCTGCCTTCGCGCAACGCTTTGAATCTCTTTCGAATCTGCTTGCTGAGGCGAATCAGCCAGTATAAGCCGCGCGGCTTTGCCCCTAGGCGATGAGCTCTGTGCCTTCCACGAGGCGTAACTTTCAATGACTCGCCGTAACAATCACGGGAGGGAAAAAGGGTAAATTCCATCCCAAAGCCCGAGAACTATAGACGATCGCGCCTACACTTGCTTCCCCTGTCATGCAGCCTTCACCTGAAAACCAGGAGTGAACCAGTCACATCTGACCGGGAAGCTTGCTCTGATGCTTCATGAAGAAACATAGGGAATAGTTGCTGGGTGATAATAGAGTGATCTGGGAGCGTAGAGAGAAAGGGAGGGGGGGGGCACCGTGGGTCAAAGTGTGCTGGCGGGCTTACCTTGAGACTTCTCCTGCCGCACAGTCAGCAACACACCGCTCATGCTCGAGCTCGCACCATGTGCTGACCACCAGTCGCGCAGCTTGGCATGGCATGCCAGCTGCTCGCGACAAGCCCGGAGTGGACTAACAGGCAAGATGGTCCCGATCCGACTCCCGAGGTGCTTAGCTCACCGCTTGAGTCTGCTGCTGTTGCTACTAGGTTGGTTCGATGGCTTGGGGCCGCTGGGAATGTCGAGCCGCCTGCGTCCCAAAATCGGGACAAAACCTTGGCGTTGCGGTCTGCCTCCCACACCACGAGAGCCAGCAAATAGTACGATCATGATATGGAAATATCCGTGCACCTATTAGAAGGCAGTTTCTTCTGAAAAATACTATTCCGCATAGAAAATTAATGAGTGAAGAGCAGGGTTTGATTCCATGTGTTGGTGCACATCTTTTTTGTGCTGGTGTAAGGAAATTTCCTTTTCCTTAATTCGCATCCCTGACAAGCGCGCACCCCATTGTTCCCGCCAACAGCACCCAACAGAATTTGTTGCCACTCACGATATTCGCCTCGACACTATTCCCGCCACTGTTCACGACGCGACCCAACCTCACGGTTCGGTTGGTAACCCGCGCTATCTCCACCTCGACACTTTCCCAACCTCGGCGCTAAGCCCGTCGCGCACCCCATTTTCACACATTATCGTTACCACTGTTGTTCTGCTATATATTATTCGCTCATGCATTCGCTCATTGTACTCTTGCTTCGATAGTGCAATTCTCGCTCACTCATTCAATTGCACTCGTAACCTTGGTATTCAGAGCCTACGATCTCTTCTCGGACCGCACCCACACCTTCGCTTCCCCCACTATTTCAATTTTTTGGGGGGGTAGATGTCTCTCAGCGAAACAAGCACCGCCGATCGAAGTGCTCTCTCGTAAGCACGCACGGCCACGACCAAGGCTCTCGCTGAGCTTGCCCGACATTCCCCCCTATGGCCGAATTCACTCTCGCGACACTGACGCAGGAGCAACTCGACCGTCTCGTGCGCCAAATCGAAGAGTCGGCACGCGAAATTCCTACATTCACGGCGAAACGCGACTCCGCTCGACAGCAATCCACGGTGAATGCTTCAGCACCACCACACACACCTGCAAATGTACCCGCACAGTCGAAGGATCCGATCGTCATCTCATCAGGCACACCGACACAAAAGGACAGCGTGGGACAACGCTCTAGCGCAGCCAGTGATGGCGACGCTCAATCAATGCTTGGCATGGAGAGGAACAGGGCCGCACCAAGCCCGCTGAAGCCTTGCGAAGCCCGTCGGCATGTGAAGTTTGCAGCGACAAGTGGCGACCATGCCATCATGGCACCAATGCCACTCAAGCCGTAGCGCCCGCCCTGTTTCGACCCGAGCCAACGTGGAGGTCCGATGGTTCAATCTTGGGTCTTCACGATGAACGCTTTTTTCGACGCGAATTACGTCGAGTCGGACGCAGCGAAGATTCAATACGTGGTCTCGCTCCTGAGAGGCCCCGCCATGGACTGGTGGCGAGTCATCGTGATGTCGCCACGCGCCTACGAGCTGCCGTCGCAAGAGGAAGGGCCAACGGGTCCAGCTGTCAATTGGAGTTTATTTTGCGAAACCGCCCAGTACAGCACGTGGGATGGGTGGTGCGAAGGGCTTCAGGCGCGCTTCGAGCCAATCGCGGCTTCTATTTCGGCGCGTCAGAGGCTGCGTACTTGGCGGCAGCTCGGATTAGTCCACGACTATACGAGTGGTTTTCTCTCATTATGCGAGCAAGTCGGCCAGATGCAAGTAGCGGAGCGGGTGGACGGTTACGTCGGAGGGCTGAAGCCGGATATCTCACACGGAATCATGCTACACGGTGTGAGGATCTAGGATCGAGCTCATAAAAGAAAGTCTGAATTAAATCATCACCGCGGTACAACACGAGGCTATATATAGGCTCGACAAAAGGCCTAGTAACCAGGTGTTACGCGAAGGTTCCGAGGGTCGCGATGATAAGAAACGAGAATAAATGCATTGAGCAGAATGAGGAGTACAAGTAGTAAACCCTAAAGTGTTGTACCCCATATGAACTGCCCCACTACAGCCTACACAGACTATAGCATATATGCCTGACACACAACCCAAGTGAGCAACCCCAAACGGACTGTCATTCCGGTACCCACCGCCAGTGCTGCTTCCTTTCCACGGACCTGCACTCCCCCTCTGCCTCTTCCTCCCAAGCGCTCCAATCCCTCTGCTTGAACGTCTACGCCCCTGCCCCTGCTGTGCTCGATCCTGCCACTGTGCCTGCTCTCGCCCCTGTTGTTGCTCTGGCCACTCTCCCGCATCCCTGACACCATCACTTGTGCTGCGCTCACTTCTGCTCTCACCACCCTCCCATGAGTTACCATTGGGTTCAAAGAGAGGGTTAAAACGAGGAGCGTACAGCTTCAGGTCCCGCATATCGCTCTCCCTGTCCCACTCCCTTTCTCTACCCCACGATCTCTCCATGCCCCTCTCATTTTCTCTCCCATCGTCCCTCCTCTCCCCCACATGCTCACAATCCCCCTGTGTTGCCACCGTGGTGTGCATAGCAGGGAGTTTGCCTGCTGCTGCTCTTGCTGTTGAAGGAAGACCGTCAGCAGCATTCTTCCCCACAGCAGCAGCAGCAGAACCATCAGCAGCAGCAGCAGCAGCAGCAGCAGCAGCAGTCTCTCCCTGCACACGGCTTGCACCTGCCAGCCTGGAGTGGCGCAGTGTTGGGTGCAGCAGGGAGGTGCCAACAGACGGGCAGAGGGCAGGAGGGCGTGAGGTGGCACGGGGGGGGCATGCGATGCTGCTGCTGAAGATGAAGATAGTTCGGAGGATGCGCAGGAGGGAGGACGGCGGTAGAGGATAAGCAGGAGTGCTGAGATGCACTCATGGGAGGGGGAATGGAAGCACCCTGGAATGGGCGGCTAGCATGCGAAGCGACATCAGAAGCAGCACCCGCCACAGCACAAGTCATAGGCGCCAAACGGCCATGAGTGCTCAATCCCAAGCATTGAGTCTCAAAAGAGCCATCAGCTTGCCTCTCGTCCGCGCCTTTGTGGGCCCCACTGGTGACACCGGCGCCTTGTGCATGCCCCACGGCAGCGCCTTGTGCATGCCCCACGGCAGCGCCTTGGTGCGACGATGGCAGGCCCAGCATGTGTAGGTACCCCCTCTCCCGCGCCCAGAACCTCTGCTCATTGTTGGTCGCAGCAAATTGACGGGAGCGACGGGACATGGAGATACAGAGGAGGAGAGGGAATGTGGGAGGAGAGTAGGTGGTGAGGATAGAGCAGGCAACGAAGTGAAACCCGAACCATGGTAGGATAATTCCTCACAAGCAGCAAGGAAGAGAAACGTTGGGAATCCAAGGACGAACAGGCGAAGTTGCAAATCACTCACCACCATATGGTTCTCCAGGTGCTCCTCTTTCCCCCTCCCTAAAAGAACCACCTCCCCGGCTCTTTTCCCTCCTCCTCCTGCTGCCCTCGCACCAATCAAGCCAGCACCGCTTGGCTTCCCTCTGGGCCGGCCCAGCCACCCCCCTGCCGATGGCAGTGCCGCTGGGGTACGAAGAGCAGGAGGCACAGGCGCAGGGAGGTGTGCTTGGGCGTGTGGAGCAGTGTCTTCTGTAATGCTCCTGGCAGGGAGTGTGGCCTGCTGTAAGCTGGCGGCGTCCACTGACTCACTGTCGCCTGCTGCACCTTCTGCTGCTTCCACCGCTCCTTCCTTAGTCTCGCCTGCTGCAGCCTCTGTTGCTGTCTCTGCTGGGTAGCATGCAGGGGACTTATGCAGAGAGTCCTCAGGAATTCTCAAGAGCCAAGGGCCATCATTACCAGCCTCGCTTCTACCACTGCTGCTGCTGCTGCTGCTGGCACTGCTGCTGCAGGTACTCGCGAATTCAATGCCAGCCTGCCTCTCCTCACCCGGATCTGTCTCCACGAAAAACAAACCTCCAAGCGAACAGTGACCAACTCCTCGCCTTTCCAGGATAGTGATTCCCCTATTCTGCTGGCGCCACTGCTGCTGCTGCTGCTGCTGCTCATCTTGATGCTGCCACCCAGGTTGTTGTGGCAAGAGATACTGACAATTCGTGTGTGTGTGGCTGCGCTGCTGCTGAATGCGAATGGCCCGTCTCCCCAGGACGACACCAGAGGGCCCTTCAGCAAGGGCGTCCCAGGAGAAGGCTGGCAGACGGATGAACTGAAATGGGCGGTGATAGAATGAAGAGTCACAGACGGGCCGATAGAATGAGGAGCGATACAGGGAAGGGTAAAAAAAGGCGATACAGGGAGAAGGAGGGGTCACAAGATAAGATTAACAAATAAGGAGCAATGGAATCAGACGTGGCAGATTCTGCAGAGCCACAGTGTGAAGTAATATAGGCGTGACCAGGCTAAAGAGTTGACAGAAACCAGCACAGAATTGGGGAGAGCATGGCAGGAAAATGTACACAGTAGTGAGTGCTGCAAATCCAATCAGCGATGCTCTTGTGTTGCGAAATGCCTCAAAACACGTCCTTGCAGACACCCATCCCCCCCCCTCCCCCCCAAACCTGAAACTCCTCTTGTTGTGACCCCACGTTGTCTCCCTCCTCCCCCACCCTACCTCCTCCAACCATATCCCTTCAGCCCTCCTTCATTCCCTCACGTTGAGGTTGCATGTGCACATGACGTGGCACACTAGGTGTGTCAAGCACAGCTCATTCATCAACATTCACACCTCCACCAGCCAACCGGCACCTCATGCTGCAATTCCTTTGATTTATGGCAGCAAAATCTTCTTGACTACCTGATTCGACTGTGTCGCAAGGAGACTAAAAATGTCGGCCTCCGAACATTCGCCAAGCTCCCCTGCTTCACCAAGGGCGTCAGCGTCATTATCCGTCACGGCAGTGTCGGTGGTTCCACCAAAGGAGCTGCTGTTGGCACTGGTACAAGAGGAGTTGTCTGAAGTATCACTGCTGCTGCCGGCGACGCAACGCTCATGCGACTTCAATTTCTGTAGCATTCCATCACGCTGTTATCGATTATACAAGGAAGGGGAGAAAAGCTTGGGCCTAAACTCATTCTTCAAAATTGTTGTTCGTGAAAAATCAGGAAAATACATACGTAAGTTCCGTTTGCTAAATGATTACAAGTTGAATGCGTGTACACACCTGCGCATGTTCTCCATCACCGCACTCCACGCCACGTCCCCCCGCTCGCCCTCCAACAATGCTCTCCAGTTCGCGCCTCGCATGCCCCAGCCACGCAAGCACCGCACCACCGCCAGCGTTGGTTGCAAGCAGTGGTGCTTGCTCGTCCCCCTTCGTGCTTGGTTTCAACATGCCTCGACGTAAGCGTGGGGACTGACGATGATCCTGCCCAGGTGATGCTTGTGGAGGAGCGACAGTAGCTGCAGTGGTGGCAGCTGGGTGCGAGCGGGCCGCAGTGCTCGCGGATTCCTCCACCAACGCGCGGAGTGCGTCGAGCTGCAGAGCAACACACAGGTTGCATGGGAACGACGAATCGTTACGCAGTAGTTTAAAAAAAATATATAGAAATTAGACGCGGCAGGTTCCCTACAATGCTCTTAACTTTCAGACCCGCTGTCCTCACTATCCCGCCTCACCTCGTCTCGGATCTTGTCCCACCACCGGCAGTCCAGCCCGCGCGACGCCATGTCGCCTCGCGCCACCTGCATCACGTCTCAGCACAAGCCTTCAGGCAAGGAAGGGGACGAGGCTGAACGGGGAGAGGACTGAACGGCGGTATGTGCGCGAGTAATCAGCACGCTATGCGTGGTGCTGCAAGCGCGGCGTTTCCACTCACCCTTCCCGTCCCATAAAGCTCATCATAATCCGAAGCAGCAAGTGCGGTCGTCCTCGCACTGCCTCCTCCCGTACCCTCCCCTTCCTGCTCCTCCTCACTGTGACTCTCGGTGACCAGCCCGCACTCCTCGCCAGTCGCCTCGTCGCCCTCGCACGAGAACGACAGTCGGCGAAACACCGCCGTACTCAATCCCGATCGCGACCTCGAGAGCGCGGGGCGGCTCCCAGTAGGAGTAGAGCCGTTGCGCTCACTCGCTCCAGAACCCGCGCGAGCGCTACGAGCTGTGCGAGCAGAAGCAGCAGGACCAGAATCCGCGCGAGGAGCATCACCCGTGGCCCCAATTCCTGCCAGCAAGCCCCAATCCGCCATCTGCGCGTCCACCACGTTCCACGCCAATCCCGCTCGGCGCGCCGAGGCTGCACTGCCAGCCGACGACGGCGCGTCGAGATGGTGCTGTTGCGTGTATCGAGGATGACACTATCGCGAACGGGCCCCCTTGACTCTGCTGCTCTTGCTGCTCGCACCTCCCGCCCGACCAAACAGCGCGTTGCTATCGCCCGCACTCTCGCCGCCCACGTCGCAGCTGCCCTCGACGCTGTGGCTTCGAAGCAGCTTGTTGCTCGTGCTCGTGCTTCCGCCTCCGCCATCCCTCTCGTTCTGTTTACCGCCAGAGGCGCACGCGGAAACAGCGCTGCTGCACGCGGAATGAGCGCCACTGTTGCTGCCGTCCGCGGAACTAGCTCCAGCAATCGCGCCGGTCGTAGCAGGCGCACCAGTAGCAGGGGGCCGCGAGAACGTGGAGAAGCTACGTGACCGTCGCAGCATCATGGCGCGGGCTGCCGCTTGCTGTGGCGCTCTTGCTGACAACGGCGACGCGCCCGCCTCGCCTCTTGACTTCGCGCCTGCTGACGCGGCGGCAGCAGATGAAGCAGGGGGAGAGGGGAACGACGCGGATGGTGACCTCCATAGCGACGACGACGAGTTGTGACGAGCGTCCATCGGCTTCGCACGCGGGCTCGCATGGCCGCCACGACGACTGGCCGAGGCTGACTCAGAGGCTCGGGTGCTGACGTCGGATGAGTCAGAAGCCACCGAACCAGCACTCGACGCGGCATCCGTCGTCGCCGCCACGGCAGCGGGCCTGTGGGCGGACTTAGCGGCCGCTGCCTCTTTTGAAGGCTGCGCCACGCGATTGCTGCTGGGACTCCCGCCTAGCCCCGGCCCATGACGGAAACCCTGACGGAATGAAAGCGACTCACGATCGTCCAGCGACTTCTGCTGGCGGTGTCGAGGCAAGTGCCCATGCGCACTTTGGTCTTCGTGGCGCTGGCGGTGCGCGAAGCGACTCTGACCGGCGTGCAGCGATCCTTTGCGCGTTGAGCTACTAGTAGCGCGATATGCCAAAATATCGGCGGCGGTGAGTATCCCACTCCCCACACTGCTGTCCGTCGTCCCACTTCCGTCCCTCTCCGAGCCACCACCACCACCACCACCACCATCACCAGCACCAGCACCAGCACCGGAGGGAACACCATCATCTCCTCCCGGACTATCTCCCGCACTACCGCTTGCACTCAGGGCGGGTCGACGCAGCGAGAACGGCGAAGGGGAGCCGCGGATGCCGCCATCGCCGCCGCCAGTGGCTCCTCCACGGCGTGCTGCTGTGCTTGACGGATTGCCGGCCCGTCCACCGGCGGCCGTTAAAATAGATGACGCTCCCTCGCCATACTTGGGCGCTAACGGCGAGCCCGACAACGAGGACGGAGTGCGCTTCATGTGAGGGGTTAACGCGGGCGTAGGTGTGGCGCCGGCGGAACGGAGACGATGAGAAAGTTAGAACGAGAATGAAATGACAATGAATGAAGTGAGTACAAATAGGAAACTCTAGTTGGGTTGTACCCCCTATGGGATACCCCACTATAGCCTACACAAATAAGTAAGCTATAATATTATGACACACCCCCATAGGCAAAGTGGGGGAGAACAAGGGGTCACAAGACCAGTCAAGCAAAACAAAGCAAAGCTCAGGGTGGATCACAAAGTCACCACACATTCCGAGCACAAGTTCAAGGGCCACAAGGCCAGTTCACATGCAAGACCATATATAGAGATATACAAGAGTCAAGCAAGCAAGAGCAAGAGTATATATAGGTCGAGGTACAAGCAAGGTCAAGAAGTGAGCAAGTGAGGCAAGACAGGCACAAGACCCAACTGCGTGCAGCAACGCTGATGATCACAAGGCGCAAGTGCCTTGGTGAAGACATCAGCAGTGTTGGCCTCAGAGGCCACGTACGCAAGTCGCAACTGTCCACGCTGCTGTAGCTCACGAGCAAGAAAGTAGCGGTGAGCAATGTGCTTTGTCCTGTGCTCCAGTCGCTGCTCTCGACACAAGGCCAGCATGGCCTTGTTGTCAACGTACAGGACTGGAGGAGAACGAGGCGGCTCTCCAAGGTCCGTCAACAGGTAGGTGAGCTAGCGTAACTCCTGTGCAGCCATAGCCCCGGCGTAGATCTCAGCCTCACAACTGGAGCCGAGAAAAGAAGACGAGCGGGTAGCCCGCCACGAAACAGAGCCGGAACCAAGGCTGAAGGTGTAACCCTGTGACGACCGCTGCGTAGCCTGGTCGTCAGCCCAAGAAGCGTCCGCGTGCCCAGTGAGGACCACTGGACTGCGCCCTCCAAGCACTAGCCCCATGCCCGACGTACTGCACAAGTAGCGCAACACCCTCTTCGCTGCAGCCATGTGCTCTGGTCGGTGTCTCCCAGGAGCAACATAGCGTGCAAGAATGCTAAGAGGGTATGCAAGGTCAGGTCGTGTGCAGGTCATCAGGTACATGAGGCAGCCAACAAGCTCTGCATATGGGCCACTCGACTCTACGGACTCATCCGAAGGCAGAGCTGAGAGCGATTGGCGAGTAGGCAGAGGAGTGGCCTGAGGCGAGGAGTACGTGAAGCCGAAGCGCTGAAGGACCTGCTGCACCATGTGGGACTGAGTCAGGGTAATGGTGCGGCGTGCTCTGTCTCGGGTGATCTGCAAGCCAAGGTAGCTGCGCAGTTCACCCAGGTCATTGCATGTGTGTCTCTTCTGCAGCTCGGACTTCACGTAGGCGAGTCCAGCAGTGTCAGCTGTGGCAAAGACCAAGTCGTCAACGTACACGAGGATGTAGAACGGCGGCAGAGAGGTGTCGGTGCGCAGAAACAGCGACGGGTGGGCAGTAGAAGGAGCAAACCCAAGTGGCGCCAGCGTAGTCCTCAGTGTGTCGTGCCACTCACGTGGCGCCTGGCGGAGACCGTAGACTGGACGCCGGAGACTCCACTGGGTACCAGGAGGGAAAGACCCAGTGAAGCCAGGTGGGCGACGCAGCCAGATCTCCTCGTGCAGGCTGCCCTGCAAGAAAGCTGTGCTGAAGTCGAGAGAGTGCAGCTCGTAGTCACGGTGAGCAGCAACGTGCAGCAGTACCCGAAGAGTGGTCATCTTCGGGGTGGGGGAGAAGGTCTGAAAGTAGTCAACCCCCTGCCGCTGACTGAAGCCACGAGCCACGTAACGCGCCTTGAAGACAGGCGGAGAACCCGGCGGCCGCTTCACCCTGAAAATCCACATGCCACTGACGATGTTCGCCCCAGGAGGGGGAACAGCGTCGACGTAGGTGCCTGTGGACTTCCAGGAAGCCATCTCTGCATCCATAGCTGCCTGCCACTGAGAGGAGTAGGGACCCTCTATCGCCTCCGCGTAAGAGCGCGGAGTCGGGATGTCTAGTGCATCCGGGTCTCCCTCAGGGGCTAGCAGTACAGACGCGAGATGAGGTGAAGCGGCGGCCAGACACTGGAACTCCTCCTGCCTGTCCTCAAGGACGTCCGTGCCAAGGGCACACTCACCCCCGACGGACGGAGGACAGGCAGACTCAGACTCAGCGACAAGACTAGCAGCGTAGTCTAGACGACAGCGCGCAGCAAAGTTGACAAGCTCAGTGACAAGGGCAGACGCAGCAGAAGACTCGAAAGAAGGGTCAGTGACAGCAGTAGCAAGGAGACGCGTGACAGTAGGACTGGCAGCACGAAGAGAGTCCGACTCCGGGTCGGCAAGAGCAGGAAGAGAGGAAGCAGGAGGAGAAGGCAAAGGGGCACGCAGAGGAGCAGTAGATGGACGCAGAGACATCCGGTGCGTGCCAGGGACAGGAGGAGGACGCGAACCGCGACCACTAGCGCGCGCAGTACGAACAGGCGACGCAGGACGAGACGCAGGCTCACGACGCTCAGTAAGACCTCCAGTCGGACCAGCGTAGGGAGAAGGAGCAGGCAAAGGTGAGGCAGGCTGTAGCTGTGACTGTGACGAGACAGGCTGTGGACCCTCTAAGGGAGGAGGAGGAGGACCAGGAGAAGGTGTAAGACCAAGAACCTGCTGCACGAGCGGAACGAAGTACGGCCGAGGCCGCGCGGCGACGCCAGAAACAGCAGGGACAGCACCAGTACCCCCAGCAGGAGTACCCGCTCCAGCAGCACCTCCAGTAGCTCCAGAACCTCCAGCAGCACCACCAGGAGCACCGCCAGTCGGACCTCCAGCGGCTGTCTCAGCGCCAACACCCTCAGCAGCACCAGCTCCAGGAGAACCCTCAGACCCAGCAGCTCCAGCACCCACAGTACGAGCACCTCCGGGACGCTCGGCAGCAGTACCCTCTGCAGCCGAAGAACCTCCTGTACCAGCAGCACGCCTCCAGCGCCTGGCAAACCACTCACGTAGCTCCTGTGGGGAGAGTGGCTCTCGGCGAGACGAAGCACCTCCAGGCGGAGCACCCCCAGTCTCAGCACCCCCAGGCTCAGCACCCCCAGGCTCAGCACCCCCACGCTCAGCACCCCCAGGCTCAGCACCCCCAGGCTTAGCACCCCCAGGCTCAGCACCCCCAGGCTCAGCACCCCCAGGCTCAGCACCTCCAGACTCCGCACCCCCAGGCTCAGCACCCTCAGGCGTAGCACCTCCAGTCTCAGCACCCCCAGGCTCAGCTCCCGCAGCAGCACCAGAGTCACAAGTGACCTCGACAGGCTCGACCGCGTCTACCTGGGACACACCTGAAGGGGCAGGACCCTGAGGGGGGAGGGGGTCTACCGGGGGGGGACCTGGTACCAAGAAGAGCGGGGGCGGGGGGAGGGACAGAGTGCGGTAGGGGAAGAGGCGGTAGTAGGGTACCGACTCGTCGAACGTGACGTCCTGGGAGGACAAAACACGTCGAGAGGTGGGGTGGTAGAACTGCCACCCAGGGGCGTCGGGGGGGAACCCTAGGAAGACGCAGGGAGCAGCGCGAGGGGACAGCTTGTCCGCAGACAAGTCGCGGACAAACGCCCGAGATCCCCAGACCCGGAACGCCGACGCATCGCCAACCTTCCCCGTCCACAGCAGCGCTGGGGAGGTCTCCGGCCTGGAGACCCTGGGGTGGAGGTTGATCTGATGCGCTGCGTACCTGACCGCAAACGGCCACTGAAGATGGGGGGCAGCCGCATGCATCATGGACGTACGAGCGACGTCCATGACCATGCCAATGCGGCGCTCTGCAATCCCATTTTGCTGCGGGGAGTCCGGAAGCGTGAAGGTCTGGCGGATGCCTCGCGCACGAAAGTAGGCACGCAGAAGGCCAGAGGAGAACTCTCCGCCTCTGTCCGAGTGCAGACGCAACACAGGAAAGTCCGAGCCAAAGCTCTGCCTGAGCTGGAGACGAGCTGCGCGGATCCAGTCGATCAGCACCTCAGTGACATCACCCTTGCTGCGCAAGGGGAAGACTGTGGTGTAACGCGAGTAGTCGTCAACCACCAGCAGGAAGTAGCGCTCGTGACCAAGTCCACGGACGCGGGCAGGGCCCCACACGTCCATGTGAAGCGTCTGCAACGGAGCCTCTGTCGGAGGAAACTGGGAGGAGTGAGGGGCAGCACGCTGGCGCCCCTCTACACAGGGGACACAGGCAGGGCCAGGGCCCTAAGGAAGGGGAGGTAGAGACCGGGGGAGACCAGACACAAGAAGACGGGAGGCCATGCCTCTGAGCCGAAGCAGAGAGGGGTGGCCAAGGCGGTGGTGCCAGAGGAGGGTCTCGTGAGACAGACGGCGACACGAACAGGGGGCAGACTCAGGACCAGACCTGGACGCTGCAGCAAACACCTGACCAGACGAAGGGACTCTACCAGACTCAGCACCTGGAGGAGAAGCAGTGGCCAGTGTGTACAGGCTCGACCCTGGCTGACGTGTAAACGTAGCCAGGTGACGACCCGTGCTAGCCTCCGTGCAGTGCGTCACTCGCTGACTAGCAGGGGTGAACTGGTGGACTCCCGCATCCTGTAGGTCAGCACCACTCACCAAGTTCGTAGAGAACGAGGGGAGGTAGAGACCGGACAGGGTGCCAGAGGGAGCCGCCGGACACGGGAGGACTGTGGAGAAGCGAGACAGGACAGGACCCCCAGAGGGGTCAGCCAGGGAAACCGCAACCGGCCGACTAAGCGGCGTAAGTGTGGTGCGGTCCCGAAAGAAAGAGCGAGACGCTCCAGAGTCAAGAGTGAAGGTGTGGGAGGCCGAAGCCGACGCAGTACCTGAGAGCGCAGACGCACTAGTACCTGAGAGAGCAGTCTCATGAGCACCTGAGAGCACAGACGCAATGGCACCTAGAGCAGAAGCCTCACCGGCACCTGGAGCAGCAGTACCAATGCCCGGGTCGGGCGGGAAACACCGGTAACAGTCACCCTCCTCACTAATGGTCACAGCATACATGGCAGCAAGGATAGCATCAAAATCAAGATCAA